CTCCAAAAAAGAGTTGTCTTTTGATGAGGAACATGACTGTGGAACAGAAAATGAATTTCTGCTTGTTGTCTGCTTCTTAGACATTGAAGATTCAGCTGTAGAGCTGCAATCTTCATTTGTTCTCGAGGTCCTAGCTTCATTAGGATTGTGCAAATTATCTTGGAGTGGCCTTTCTTCTTGCATATGTTTGGATCTCTTCCTATTAAATTGGTTACTCTTGGAATTTTGACATGTAGGCACCTTCTGATCATTCGATGAGTAAGTAGGACAAGGAGCATTATTCTTTAAGATCACTTTTGGGATAGGCAAACTTTCAATACCATCGGAATTGTCAACAACAACTTCATCTGTGCCATTTGAGTTTGCAGCCTTTGCTGCTGCTTCCATTTCCCACATCTTGAATATAGCCTTGGTCAAATGCTCTCTAGCCAAATCTATCTCAATGAAAGGTTTTGGATAGTTAAATCCTAACTCTACCCCTGAAACTTTAAGCACATTATCCGGCGCATCCCAAGGATGATGGATCCACTCAGTTGGCAAACGTGCTAACTCAGGCAGCCAATGCCTTACATATTCACCCTCTGGGTCAAATTTTGAGCCTTGAACCTGACTCCCAAAATTCACATGAATTAAAGTTAGAATGGACTAAAATAGGTTTATGTTCCTCAAGAATAAATTTGTTGTGTTTTAGGGTATTCATGTAGCTGCACTTTCTTTAGCTTTCAATTTATAAAATACTGAAGCAAAACACTCACCTCTGGACTGTCCAAACGCTCAAGCTCATGGCCATCTGGTAAGCTCCCTGAGATATACTGCCAACCAAGGATATCACTTTCCAAATCAGCATCCAAAAGTGTGTCCCAGAAATACTTCATTCCCCATTTCCAAGGAAGAAGCAATACTTTCACAGCAAAACTTGATACGATCACTCTTATTCTGTTGTGTATCCACCCAGTTGCCCATAGCTCTCTCATTCCTGCATCAACCAAAGGGTAGCCGGTCCGACCTTGTCTCCAAGCCTTAAAATTGTTCTGGTCAGCTTGCCAAGGGAAAAAATTCAAGTTGCTGAGGAGTGGTCTCTCATGAGTGAATGGAAAGTTAAAACAAAGATACCGTGAGTATTCTCTAAGCCCAATGGCCCTCAGGAAAAGAGTCACACTCTCAACCCCTATAGAGTTCCCTTCTTTTGCCCACAGTATCTGCTTCATTCGAGCTAACTGGAAAACTTTCCTCACGCTCATTTCTCCAAAATGAAGATATGGGGACAAAAGTGATGTAGAGTTTTGCCCAACCTTTGTCCTGTTCTTTGAATATTCAAGCAGGTGCAACTCAGAAAATTCACTTAGAGCCTTATCGGCATTGCTCCAACCAGGAGACCATGCTCTTGCTAAGAGGGCATTGCTAGACTTTTCTGTTTCCTTTTCAAGACCCAAATCCTCAATTGAACATTTTGCTACATTTCCTGTCAAATGAAATAAATTCTTCTTTATTTGTTTCTTTCCCAGCAAATACACACACACACACACACACACACACACACACAAAACTCAGAAAGTCGAAATGTACCTGTTGCTGGCACCAATTTCCATGGAGGAAGGAGTGTGACAAGTTCCCGTTGCATGTTGAAGGACTTGTCCCAGTACGCCTCAAAGGTTGTAAAAGCTTGCCCTCTTGCATCATATACTTCCCATGGCTCATTCAACAGATCTGCATTGTAGCTTTGCACAGAAATGCCTAGCTCCACCAGCTTTCCTTTGATGTTGTGATCACAAACAAGTGAAATAGGATCTGGGAAGGAAAAGCAATAGCATATTTACAAATTGGAAAGAAATGAAACACCTTGAAGCAATTTGCAAGAAGCATCAACACACCTAGCATGCATGACAGATAAGGGCTTTGCTCTCCAGCACAATGCTGATTGCCGACTAAATAAAATCATTTTCAATTTGATTTGTGACATGTGCCTTCGACTATAAGATAACAAAATCTTTGACCTCATTTCGTGAGTGAAATTTGTGAAATGTCATTGATATTACAAGAAAATCTTCATTTTAGTCGAGCTGAAAAATAACCATTAGTTGTGGTGTATGTTATACTGGTCAATTTGCTATCACCTTATCTTTTGGGATCAATGGTAACTTAACAGTTACAACTGCGCAGGGGCATTAAGGATGCCACAATCATCCTCTACAACCCTAAAACAAAAAACAAATATAGACATCCAGAGAGGGATTGAAATTTCTAATTCAATATATAGAAATCCAGAATGATGGACCTTGAGCTCTCTCTGTCTCTCACAGAAGGGCATTAAGTCACATAAACAAAAATATTGAGAGAACAAACGAAATAAGGTATCAGAAATGAATGAAAATTAGATCTTCACTATGCTTTTAGAAAATCAAAGTTATATCAGTTGACTGAAACTACTTTGAGGTTGGCTCCAGAACATACCATAAAGATGGTTGAATACTACTTTTGTAGCTCCAATGGCTTCAATGCACTCTAAGAGAGCCGCAAGAGTGCTCTGGGTTCTAATTAGCACAAGTTCAGCCCCAAGGGATCTCAGGGAATGGTCCAAGTGATAAAGAGACTGCTTTAGCCACCACCTCGAAACTCGACCCGGGTAAAATTGTCCTTCATCTTGAGGACACCATATATAAACAGGGAAGACGCTACCATCCCTAGCAGCAGCAGCTAAGGCAGGATTATCCTCAATCCTGAGGTCCCTTCTAAACCAAACTATAGTCTTGTTGCTACCCATCTTGTAATTCAGTTTCTTCAGGATCAAATTTCAGTATCAAGTTTTATAAAAGTCTCAAAAATTTCTCTTCTTCCTTCCTTCCTCCGCTCATTAGCCAGTAGCCAGTAGCCACAAATCCCAGAAATCAGAAACTGCAGCTTTCGCCAATAGAACGACAGCAAAAAACTTTGCCCAGTCAAGGGAAAGATCTGGAAATAATTCTCCCCAGCTGAACCTGGGAAGTGAAGATTATTTTGAACTACCAAGGACCCAAAAACGCCAGCCTATCAAGGTGTTCTGGGTCGAAGAAATTTGACTGTTCCCAATCCATCTGTGGACCAACTGAGCCTTCCCTACATGTTTCACCAACTGAAAAAGTAAAACTCACCATGAAGCCATCAACCAAAGAACAACAGAACTCCACAAAATAAAATCGCCAATACCCAGCAGACAACTTTTAAAGACTAGAAATAAAGCAACCCAAACTGGCAAACACTTACTCAAGAAGATTCAAAGAACAGTTCATGCATTTGGGTGCACCTTGTGTCGTTAAACACAATTCCACCTGCAATAGAAGATTAGATTTCATGTGACTGAAAAAAAAAAAACTACGAATCTGAATCTGAGTGAGACCAAACCAAAATAATTAATTATTCATACGCAATAAAGAATGTAATTTTGGAAAAAGGAAAATAGAAACAATCATACAGAGGGCTTTAAACAATACCCAATTCTCTTTTTCTAGATTATCCAGAAAGATCTCAAATACCCACAACTTGGCTAAGAACCCAAAATCAAATATTAAGGATGCATACTTTTCCCTTATTTCCTGGACATGGGGAAAGAAAATAGTGCACAAATAAATAAACAAATAAAAAGCTTTATCTTGTGTACAATCTGTGCAGAGCGCTGGTCAATACTGTGAATCAAAGAAATGGCTTTACGTGACTGTATGATTATCCCATTAACGTAACATCACGAGGAGATAGTGACAGTGATTATTGTAGACGACAATTTCTTGTCTTCTCTGTGAACCGCACTGGTAAAAAAGATAAGGCTAAAGGTCTTGTTAGGCCTCCCTTTAACATTTGCACCTACAGGGTCCTACAGTTTTTTTTACCTTACCTTTTGGTCCTTCAGAATTGCAAGACCAGCCGAAAAGTCCCGAAAATCCTTTGAAGTTCAAAGACAGCAGTACATGTTTTAGAACTTTTGATTTGACCAAACTTCCAAACGTTTTCAAATTATCTTGATTTTGTTTATAAATTAAGAAAGGGTTTTGCTTTTGTTACCACTTTCTTTAATGTTGTTTAGTTAGCCTCATTTTGATTGGAAGAGAAAACACGGGCTTTTCCGTAAAGTATTAATTGGTTTTGTCCTCTTTGCATGCAGATAATGTTCATCTCGTACCATTTTAGCATCGAAAAAACCAGAATTACCCACAATTCTATAAGTTCTGTTTAACCAAATTGATAAAAGCTTGATGTACGAAGAGAAATTAGGCAAAAAGATCATCTGGGTTAGCCTTGAAATTTTCTTATCAGCATTTGCTTTTCTTTGGGGCTTTTTTTTTTTTTTTTTTTTTTTTTTAAGAACTTAAAAGTAATTTAGTCTCATATTCTCTTTGAGCACAAAACCATTTTCACTAACTGTTGGATCAAAATTTAGGCTGCATCACCAAACCGTTTTACACCACGTGATGTGCCTGAAATCCAACCTTATACCAAATGGTATGATGCTTGAGCATGGTTACAAGGCATCAGAATGCAAAACAAGAAGACAACCAATATGACTTGTAACATAGTTGATCTGATTTTTAATTTTAATTTGACTCGTTTATGGAGACAATCCAATTATATTAATGCACGGGACCATTCAATAACTGAGCTAAACTAGCATTAAAACACATGAAAGCTAGAAAACAGGGGGCCATCTATAACATTCAGCTTTGTGTTGGTTTCTCTTAGGTGACCCATCTTGCACCAAGTTGCCGCAAATTCGAAAGGTAAATTGATTAACGAAGAGCAATGAAACAATACCAAAAGGGTTATTATTGTTTCAGATGAATACCCTAAAGGCAAATTTCTGTAGCAGCAAATAGATCCCTTCAACTATCTCGAACAAAGGTCATAAAATTCACAACCGATCCATTCGGCTTTTTAGTACTCATTGCAAAACTAAAATGTACTATGATGATAAGTGGTAAATGCAATGCAAGGAGAGACATCCCCGATAGAGTATGAATATCTATTCCATAGAACATGAGTCAAATTATCATTATCCATTACCATATCCAATTTCACCTGAGAAGCATCATGGTAAAAAGGAAGCTCATATTCCGGTGCCATTGAGCTCATAATCAGAGCCCCTAATCAGCCTTCCCAGGTGCTGATTATTAATTATATTAAACTATACCTAATTTCTGCCAGGAACATATAATGCACATATTCAGACCAGAAAAGTAATTCCCTCGAGTTCCAAAAGAAGCCTAGGTGCTTCTCTAAAATACCTAACCCTTTTAAAACAAGTGCTCAGTGTGCACGGTCCCTAAGGACTTCTAGTTCCATCTCGGTTGGGTCAGTTGCCTGGATTTCATAATGGATACCGTCCAGCTCCCTCCTGAACCTGTCCTTTGATGTTGCATAGAGCATCTTGGCACGGATCCGTGACACAGAGGGTGACCTGGAAAAGGAAGCATCAGTATCACATCAAAATTGAAATGGCAATGGCAATAGCAACTCAAAAGGGGGGAGGAAAGCAGTATCATACAGAAAATAGTAGAAACACAACCATATACGAAAGACCTTTAAAAGTTGCATATGTAAACAGCAAACATCTTTCCTCTCCATTACTCACATAGAGATCACAACGAGACCCAAATCATCAACAAGATCCATAGTTTTTATTCAAGTTTCACATAAACCAAGTGGGATATGATGATGAAAAGAGGTGGAAGCAATCCTTGAAAAAGAGCTCAGCAAGGAGCAATTAAGCTGAAGTCGATCCAAAAGTGTTCTAGGCTACATTTACCTCAGCTTCCAATTCAAAAACTAAGCAAACTATAAAAAATCCTCCAATATACCAACACAAAAACGATCCTCACCAAATGCTTGAGAAGTAAAGCAAGTGGAAAATGAAACTCATCGCTATGTTTGCCATCATAATTTGGTCCAGGGGGAGCATTCACCTACTTATGTGACAAACTTTCCAAAGGACATACTGTGATTAGAGAAGGTCAAAACACAGCATCATCTCAAATAAAACACAGTTCACCAAAAGAAGAGTCACTAGCATCAATTAGTTTGATTGGCAATTTCAACTGCATTTTGAATCAGAAAAAGTAACCGTACAAAAGAAACTAACCATGCAATGAAAAAGATCTTGCTCTTTTGACAATTCTCTGAAGTGACAAAATCAAAGTCATAAATTGCATATCGGCAGTCATTCTCAGGCATTGAAGCGGTGAAATCATCATAGCTTTCAGCTGGACCTCCAGTCTTTTCAACCACAACCTCTTTTTTCTTCTCGTCAATTTTAAAAATCACATAGCGATAAGCCTTCTTCCTCTGCAGTTCCAAGAATGTGTTTTTGCAGTGCTCAGCAACACCCATGCCTGATGAAGCATTTCCCTGATATGAAAACCCAGTGTTTAATAATTGTTCCAAACAGCATTAACTACCAGTTGTCATTTTTGCAGAGCATAATAAAATCAGAATTTCACTTCAAGATATCATTAAACAAACCCGTCCAAGAAGAACAAGCACCAGGACGCTGTACAGGATTAAATCAAACATATGCTTAATCCTTCCCAAACTTGAAAGTTACCATTTGGAATTACACAGACATTGATGGCCCATAACAACATTTGAACTTGTAATTCCAATTGTGGATATTGAATTTCATATTTAATATTTGGAGCCAACAGAACAAAACCCATGATCACTCCAAAGCCACCAAACCCAAATAAAAAAACTTAAATGATAATCCAATTCAAAGTCCAAGTCCCAAGTCTCCATAACATGCAATGAAAGGAATCACATCTTTGTCAGATTCGCACACCCACATCCACAAACAAGAAACCTCAAACCAGATACTGCCTTTATATAAATTCAAATAAAGCCATCAATTTTGTGCAAGAAAATGAATTGCTACGACAAAAATAAGAACAGAAGTTACAGCCACCATTATATATCCAGTGTACGAAAAAGAATAAACAGGACTTTTAGCACAAAAAAAATTTCTTAAATTTCTTCTTAATAAATTAAATTAAAGTAAAGAATAAACAACCCAGAAGAGAAAAGGTTTGCAACAAGCAGATTACTAACTAACGACATTAATAAGTGCAAGTAAATCGATAATTGACCCAAAAAAAATCTTAAATTTCTACAGAAAACAAAGAGAAAATGAGTTTGCAGATAAAAATCAAGCCCATGTGTTTATCTGCTGCCAAAAGCAAACCAAAACCCAGTAATCAGAACTTTAAAAGCACCAAAAAAACAGAAACACAAATCTATAAACCCAGAAGAGAGAGAAAAAAAAATATAAATAGATCTGAACAAGTAACAGGTGAAACTTACTCCTCTGAAAGCCATAACTGTTACGGAAGCAGATAGAGAGAGAGGGAGAGGGAGGAGCGTATGGAGAAGAAAGAAGGAGAATAGGGAGCCACTGAAGAGCAAAAGGAGAAAAGGGAAAAGAACAAGATTCGCGTTTTGAGGAGGGGAAAGTAAAAAAGAGGCGCGTCTCGTATGTGTGTTTTTCGTATCTCGGTCTAAATATCAAGTATTGTATTATTCTTTTTCCAGACAACGACCCGCCATTCCGTGTTGGAGGAGAATTCATTGATGTGGTCATATCGGATTAGGTTTACTAAATTTTTTTGATTAGTGACACTAATGCAGTCGTGATTCCTAAACGTGGATTAGGTTTACATAATAATCGTAATATTTTCAAGTAGCATTTGCAATTTACCTGTTATAATATATGTAGGACATGTGTGTTTACTTTAACTATATATGTATATATATTATATTATTATCGGTGAATTAGTAGTACAATATGACGGTGTTATTGTCACACCGAAAATTTGATCATATATAAACATGTATTAGGTCATTTACGTGAGAGTATATGTGACCTTTGACTAATAAATCCAAAATTAATTTACTATAGTCTATAGCTACAGAGTGGATGATTGGATTTTTTTTTAATACAAGCAACAATCTCAACCATAAAAAAAGGAGGGTTTTTCACGCACACTACAAGAGTGTCATGGAGCTTCAAACTTGAGATCACTGGTCTATAAATCATGACTCTTTTTCATTAAGCTAGACTCTATTGGCAATATTTATGTAAGATTTATATAGCATTTGTGGACCATCAATCATTATATACTGGATGGTTGTATAAACTATGCATAAGCTTTTCTAGTTACAAACAATAAGGATACAACCTAAACCAATGTGGTGAAAAGAGAAAAGGGCCAAAGAAAAATTATACAATCCAACACAAAACCAACTTTTGAGAGTCCATCGGCCGAAGAAAAATCATACAATCCAAGACAGAGAAACCCGAAACTAGAGCCCATAAAAGGCTAGAAACCCATTTAATCCAAGATAACACCAGACAAACAACAAAGCTACAAAGCCCAAAGGCTAAACCAAGTGCCTGCCACCATTAGTTAAAGTTGATGGAGCCGGTTACAAGAAGATAACGTGAAGGGCTAGACTCCTAGTTGCTGTTGCTCCACTAAATATAAGGTCACCATTTGGTTGGATCATGTATCACAGAAGCAGCAGAGACATCAAAATTAGCATAACCAAGTTCTTTTAGGGGAAACAATCTAATTATCTGCCTATAACTAATCCTCAAACCCGCCCCTCAAAAACTGATTTCTGAAGCTATCAAGAAACAGGGATGAACAGCATTGAAGGATAGGAGGATTCTCAGGCCTTCCAGTAAAACTAGATTTTGATGGCAAAGATTTTCCTGGAGGATCTGCAATGCAAATCTTGAATGCTTTTCACTCCGTAATTTGTGTGTATGAATCTAAAAACCTCTGCAACCAAAATCACTAGTGTTCTTCATTTTAGTTTCAATTGTAGGTCATTTCCGGTGAGGTTATTCATGGAAATCAAAGTTCAACACTTGAAATAAAACTTGGGTTTAGGGGCTTGAATAACAACAACACTATTCAAAACTTCCAATTGCATATTTCTAGCTAGGATTGTCTCAAACAGCAAAAGCACCAAAAAAGGACTTGGAAACATAAAAACAGAAATCAAAATGCATCTTAAGAGTAAAGAATTGAAAAGCTGTCTACATAACAAAAACAAACAACTAAATCTCAAGCCCCAAACCCCCACTGGGCACCATCCACACTCACTCATCATCTTCATCATCCCCAGCAGCTGAGTTGAAAGCATTCAACCTCTCAATCAACTTCTCCTTCCTCTCATCATAAGTAAGCTTCTTCAGATTGAATCTCCTGTGCTCCTTCACCTCCTTCTTCTCAGTCAGCTTCACGGTTGGATCGGCACGAATGGCGGCATGAACCTTTTTGTACATCTCCTCAATCCCTTCAGCCTCAACGCCCTTCTTGATGTACCCACTGAAATGGGTCTGAAATTTCTCAGGCTCATCCTCGCTCAAAATCCCCATGTAAGCAGCAACATGCCCGCCATAGATGTACTTCCTGTGGACATCAGAATCAAGCTGCTTGTTGTCCTTCGAAAACCCAGCAAACCTCTTCTCGCTGTGAGGCACATCAAGCCCACCATCCAGAGCTCCCTTCAAAGCACCAAACACACGGTTCCCAGTTGTGGTTCTGATCAAACCCACATCGAGCAGAGCCCTAAATGGCCTCCGGCTCTCCGATGGCTCCACAGAATAGTCCTCGCCGGTGGCCTCGACGTTGCCCTCATACTCGTCGGCCATTTCGAGCTTGTGCAGGACTCGGCGAGCCAAGAGAAGCCCGGTGCAGTAGGCCGCGGCGTAGTTGGTGAGGCCCACCTTGAGCCCATAGCGAGGAAGCTCGTGGGCGTAGGCGGAGGCGAGAACCAGATCGCCGACGATGCTGGCGGAGATGATCTGGGCGACGATGTCCTTGTTGGTGAATCGGACGACGAACCGGTACTTGGGTGTGTTGTATTTGTTCTTGTCTTGGTTGATGAGGCGGATTCTGGCTCGGTAATCGGTCTTTCCCTGTCTTCTTCTCTTGTACTTAACCTGGAAGCGCTTGAAGTAGGCCCTGGATTTCAGAGATTTCACGAAGGCCATGGCTAAGAGGAGATGGGAGAAAAGAGAGAGGAACGGCTAGGGTTTTCAGAAGGGTTGAGGAAGAGAAATGAGCAGCAATTTATACCCTTTTGATTAGGACCCTGCCTTGAATTTACCATTTTGGGAAATCCATTGGAGAAAGCCCAATAGCTACAAAACCCTAAACCTAACAGTCAGAAGAAAACTACAACCCAAACAAAGAGACCAAGCCCACAACAAAAAGCAACATCAAATAAGCCCGAAATCAAGAACCCAACGCTTCAGACACAAAACCTTACCTGGACCCAAATTCGAGGCCCATATTATAAGCCCTTAGACCCAAGGCCTCAGACCTAAAACACGTAACTGGCTACCCAAGGCCTCAGCCCTTAATCCAAGCCATGCGCACTAAACCCAAGCCTCATTTAGTGGCCGGATTCGATTGAATTGGAGTCGACTCCAAAACCAGTCCTTATGAGTCTCACACGTATAGGTGGTACTTATAAAACACAATATGTTAGACTGCTATTTAATTTAATAAGTCCAGTTCTCACACACCAAACAACAGTCAAAACTTTTGCCCATTTTAATTGAAATAGTCAATTCCAATCCAGGATCCCAAGCCTCTATATTTAGCCACTTTGCATTTACCCGCATTTCACTCGATCATAACCATTCTAATCATCTAACGATTCAAGATATGACATATCAATTTTTAAATTTTGACACCCATCCATATAATTAACTCTAATTTAACACCATTAAGTCTAAATAAATTAAATAAAGAAAAAAAACCATAAACCTATCAGCAGACACCCATGACACTCTCCACCCCACCCCACTCACGGCAACCCCCTTACCTCCTCACAGCCAACCTTCTCTCCTATTTTTTTCTCTCTCTCTCTCTGGGGTATGTAGGATGGCTACTAGGTTTTTGTTTTTATTTTTCTTTATTTTTGTGTTAATAATTATTTTAATAGATAGGTGTCAAAAGTTAAAAATTGACTAGTCATATCTTGAGTCGTTAAATGATTAGAATGATTCAGATCTTGCAAAATGCAAATAAATGCATAATTACTAAATCTAGAGGCCCGGAATCCTTCCAGTCAAACCCACCAAATATGACCTAATTCTAAAACCTCGAACATGACCCAATAAGAAGGGAGCTGAAAACCAAAGCCCAATGCTTGATGCTCGTATTCCACAAAACAAATAGAAGGGATATGTTATTAATTAACACTCCAAAATATTCATCCTCTAAAAAAAGCTGGAAGGAGTTGCACATTTCCGTTATCAGAAAATAAGAGAGGAGAAGTGCAGGATGATTATTCCTGATTGCCAACAACAACAATTCTCTGGAATTAGTTAATTCCTTTATTTTATTTCATTCCTTTCTTGATTATTTCACACACCGTTCCATTTCTGCAACCAAACACAATCTGTATTTTATCACATTGTTATTTTATTTTCATGGTTAGATTCTAGATAGTAATAATAATACATACAAATACCAAGTCTTTTATATATATAGAAGAACTTGTCCAAGCCACAGAGTGGGCTTGATTTTTCTTCTGTTTAGGTGTAGAATTTTCTTAACACATACACTTGTGCTTTGGATGCAGTCTTTGCGTACACTTGTTACTAATTTAAGTGTCTGTAGAAGTTTCTTAATATCCTTTGGATAAAGTCTTTTTATAAAATTACGTACACTTGTTATTAATTTACATATCTCTATGCAATTAACAATGAAAAAGCATTGCTTGGACTTTTGGATTAGTTCACAAAATGCTAAAACACGTGGGATGGGAGTCATTTTTTTCTTCTTTCAACAATCGAATAATAGACATCAAACGAGCCCATCAATTTAAGTTGTAAACCAAAGAGGAAAAAAGCACCTTCAAAATAAATTTATACAAGTGATATTAGGGGAGGGGGGAACCAAACCTAGTACCTCAGATGCAAAATAAATGTTTTTTACCACTTGAATTACAAGTCTCTTGTCACCTTAAAGCTAATATTAAGTTATAATGACAGTGAATGCATTGAAAAAATTGAATGAGTCATTAGGATTTAGTTGGCAGTTCACCGTGAGATCATTCAAAATCAAGAGATTCCAGAGCAATATTAGCGAAATAATCTTCATTTAGTCAAAAAAAAGACCCATGCAATCTAAGAGAATAAAAAAAGAATGTTCCCAGAGTTGTCATATAGTCATCTTTTTCTGCAACTACTTGTGGCACACATTTGTGGAATAACAACCAATTTTGATCATATATAATACAAACAAAAATGGTTAGGTTAATATAAGCTTGTCTTTACTCCAACCGTTTTAAATTAAAAAATTGACAGAAAATGGCACATCTCCCTTCTTCCTAAAAAACAATAATAATCTCACTTTCATTCAAATACTTGGAAAGTCCTATCACCATTGCATGCCCCAAACTTCTTACCAGCAGGGCAAGGCAATGTTTAACAGCAAACCGGGCAAAAGGACCCCCTTCGAGCCCAGAAGCCCTTCAGCGCGTGAGTAGGAGCCTGGGCAAGCCATGGGGCCCACCAATCCTGGGCGCTAACGTTATTGCTAATATCACGCTGACGTCAGAAAGCGAAAAAAATTGAAAAAAAATCCAACAAAATTTTAAAAAAAAACCAAAAAATTATGGATGTTTTCCCTATAAATACATAACAATTTTATTCACTTTCCACACCAAATCCTCATACAAACTCTTCTCATTCTAATATTTGTATATTGTAAATATTTGTATATTGTAATCTTTTTTTTTCTTCTTGCATTTGTTAAATTTTTTATATTTTCTTCCATATTTATTTTTTTTCTTGCATAATCATTTTATTTCTTACATTTCTAAATTGTTTATATTTTGTTGCATAATCTTTTTTTTTCTTGCCCTTGCCCTAGCCTTTTGGGGTGGAACCGAAAAAGGCAAGGCTGCCACTATTCACATGAATAATGGCAGCCCTTGCCTTGGCCTTAGCCTTTTGGGGTGGACTTGCTCTAACGATTGTTGGGTCAATTAGATGAAAGGTGGAAGTTGCGTATTAGATACGAGGGGGAGAAAATATGCAGTAAGTCCTTGTCCGTAGAAAAAGCCATCCATTAAAGATTCAATGATGGGATGGATGGCTATTCAACTTAAGTCAGTGCAAAACTATCTAACCTAAGATACACGAAATAAAATTTGTTTCTTGAATCTTTTTTTATTTTTTTATTTATAAAGATGAATGCATGCATCACATTAATTATTGTAATTAATTCTGGTTACTACCAATTAGAGGAAGAAGAGTTGAGGAAAAAAGCCCAACTAAAGAAACTGTTTGTTCTTAATTCTAACTAACTACAATTATACGTGCTTTCGTTTTCGTTGGAAAAAAAAAAAACCCATACATCATGACAAAACCTTTACGTGCTTTCGTTGCAATTATATAACTTGTGTCTCACGCATTCATATCATGGTACTAGCGCATAATGAAAAATGTGAGATACTCATTGGAGCTAATTTTTTCTCCTCCATCTTCAGCATCTGCTCGGAAAAGATGGAAGAGACATAGACTTGAATGAAAATAACTGGCCAAGAAGGAGTAACGAATATAAAATGGAGTTAGTGTTTTGTCGACGTGAAAATTAATAGCGAGGGTAACATCAAAATTAATAGCGCATAATGAAATGGACTAAAATTGGACTTGGATTAGTCTCAATGATAATGAAATTAAACCAATTAAATTTAAATCCATATACTAAAAACATATTTTTGTTCAAACATGGGACCGCAGAGTTCTATGAGTCTATGAGATAGTAATTCAAATAAACTGGCGGATAAAATTTTATTTATTTATTTATTATAAATAGCTAGTCCAGTCAACTTTTTATATTGCTCTCCTATTCTTATTCAATGTACCGCGACCATCCATGTTGCCTTTCCAACATTGCCTCACTTTTCTTTTTCACTTAGGGCCAGTTTGGCATTGCTGTGCTGTGAAAATAATCGCTATCAGATTTGCTGTGAGAGAAATCAGCTGTGTGATAACACAGTTTGGCGTTTGGTAAACTTTTAGTCATTGTTTGGGTTGTGCGTAATTCTCTCTAGATCAATTCAACATGTTGTTGTGTTTGGTCACTGGAGAAGATTTACTCATATTCGACACATAGTTGATTTGTATTTTATTTGTTCATCAATAATATACTATCCCTTTTTTAAAATGAAAAAAAAAAATCTATGAATTTATTGTAGCAAGGCCTTTTATTTTTTTATCACTAAACTCTTTGCACCTTTTTTTTTTTAAAAAAAAAAGAGATATTTAGTGATATATCCATTATTAACACTAATACTATAGATAAACCCTACACCATTTAATTTCTATAAACAAACCAATTTAATTTAATTTTGATTATTAAATTACTTTAATGCCCTATTGAGTGTTTTGGGCTTTTGTATGAGGTTTTGAGGTTGAGTTTGTTTTAAGAAATCAATGGCAGTTTTATAATTTAAAAGAAATTAAAAGCCTTTTTGTTATGTTGTAAACAGGCTTTTGGTGTGTTTCTAAAGTCTATTTCATATAGGGTTTTTTTTTAAATAATTGGGCTCCTATATTGGGTATAATAGTGAATCTCCCAATAAAAAATGAGCGCCAACTAACTATAACAATATTTATCTTTTCAATTTTGAAAGATGTTCCAAGCTTGTCTTCACACTCCTCCCTTGATTAGATTAGGTAAAAAGAAGCATTATCCCTATGAGACACTCTCTTGAAGAAAGACTGGGGTTATCTTTGTACAAATAATGGGGTTATCTAACATTAAAAAAATAAATATTATTCACGCTCGCACATAAGAGTGCAAAAAATAGTATTAGTAGCACTCACAAAAGAAACTTATATGAAATTACTTCACGGCACGAATCGAAGCAAGATATAATTTTATAAAGTCTTAATTAGGATTTCTAACAGTCTCTAACAGTCCTGATCTCTTGGACCACAGGAGTCCAAGAAATTGTGGTCACCTACCGTTGGATATTAATCCAATGGTTCAAAAAAGTTTCTTAAAATGAGTGCAAGATTGAATGAACCATTGAATTTACATCCAACG